AATTTAAACTGATTTCAGATCAGCCTGGGAAAATACTCAAATATGCCTAAGAGACTGGAGTTTAAGTTCCTACTCATCTAAACTTCTTGTAAATGAGACCGTCTACTACAGTAACTCCTCGCTTAACGTTGTAGTTATGTTCCTAAAAAATGCGACTTTAAGCGAAACAATATTAAGTGAATCCAATTTCCCCATAAGAATTAATGTAAATGGGGGGGGGAGGAGGTAGGTTCCAGGGAATTTTTTTAAACCAGACAAAAGACTGTAGTATGTATGTATGTATACACAGTATAAGTTTTAAACAAACAATTTAATACTGTACACAGCAGTGACGATTGTGAAGCTTGGTTGAGGTGGTGAAGTCAGAGGGTGGGATATTTCCCAGGGAATGCCTTACTGCTAAATGATGAACTAGAACTCAGCTGAGCCTTCAAGGGTTAACACATTGTTGTTAATGTAGCCTCATATTCTACAAGGCAGCATGACTGGAGGGAGGGGAGACAGCATGGAGGGGGGGAGAGGGAGAGGGTGTGTGTGTGTGGGGGGGGGGGTGCATTGCCCCTTTAAGTACACTGACCCCACTCTAAGTACATTGCAAGCAGGAGGCTCCCGGGAGCAGCTCCAAGGTAGAGGGCAGGAGCAGCACATGGCAGTGGGGGGAGGGACTGCTGAACTGCCTGCACTTGATAGCCTGCTGGGCAGCTGCCGCACAGGAAACTTAGAGGAGCGGGGAGCTAATGAGGGGCTGCCGGTCCACCCTGGTTCAAAGCCCCCTCCAGCTAGCTGCAAAGGGCTGCTCTTTCTGCAAGCAGTGGACAAAGCAGTCGGCTGCCAAACATTATAAGGGAGCATTGCACAACTTTAAACGAGTATGTTCCCTAACTGATCAGCAACTAACAATGAAACAACGCTAGGCCGGATGACTTTAAGTGAGGAGTTACTGTAAATTACTTAGGCTGACCTTTTTGTGCCCTAAATCTTGACCTCAAAATTCAGATGTCTTTCCCTGCTTCTTTCTTTATATAGAACAGCAGCCTTTAACTCAATTTTGATCAAAGCTCATGAATTCAGCGTATTTATTTTTATTTAAATGTTTTATGAGATTATAATAAGCAGTTTAGGCCTTAACATACTTTATGTTAACTCAGATTTTGTTTTAAACTGGTTTATTTAAAAAAAAATAATTAAACAACAAAATCAAAAATTTTCAAAAAACTTTTGCTTTTTATCCACCTTGAAAGCTGCAGAGAGGTCCAGGAGAATCAGAATGAATGTCTGCCCTTTATCCATCAACAGCAAGAAATCATCCATTTGTGCCACTAGTTCGATTTCCATTCCATGTCCTGAATCCAGCTTGTGTCAGGCTAGGATACTGGCTTCACTAAGGTGAACCTGAAGGCAGCTTTTTGCTATCTTCTCTGACATTGCTCAGAAATGGAAGGTTTGACACAAGGCAAGTTAGGTCCAATGTATCCAGGGTGGGTTTCTACTTGTAGGTCAGACTATTATGTATTTCAAGATGAAAGGGAAGATCCTTCTCTGCATGAGGCACGGGATATTTCAGTCAAGAAAGTTCTGTTTCTCTTGACTTTTTTTGTGAGTAGAAAAGAGATCTCCACTTATTCTTGACTTTATGCTCCCAAGTAGCTTTTTATGATAGGTATTACCAAAGAGAACACACAATTTAAATAAAATGAAAAAAATTAACAAGCTTTCTTTTTCTTCTGTATTTTTGATAAATTATACCTGATATAAAAATGGACTAAGGCTACGTCTTCACTACCCGCCGATCCGGCGGGTAGCAATCGGTTTATCGGGGATCGACTTACCGCGTCTCGTGAGGACGCGGTAAAATCGATTCCTGATCGCTCTGCCGTCGACTCCGGAAATCCACCTCGACAAGAGGCGGCAGCGGAGGCGGCGGCAGCGGTCGGCTTTCCCCCGTCCTCACCGCCAGGTAAGCCGACCTAAAATACGCAACTTCAGCTACGGTATTCACGTAGCTGAAGTTGCGTATCTTAGGTCGGAACCCCGCTGTAGTGTAGACCTAGCCTAAATAACACCCACACCATGAGAATAACCAGACTATAACAAGCCTTGCTTTCCCAGATATATCTCCTATAAGAGAAAATAAGCTAAGCTGTAATTTCCCTAACAAATATCTTTTCATTTGACAGAGGATGTTGATTCAGTTTAACAACACAATAGAGGCCACAAAGTAAGAAATCACACCAATATGCCATCTGCCAGGTGACTTTTACTTGAATGATTTGAACACCACACTAGATTTCTCACAAGTTCATACAACAAGCTATAAGTTAAAAGGTTATTTTAAGAGTTTGTATCGAGGACAACAAATAATTAGTAAATTCTACCATAGCCAAAAGAAAAAGTGAGACCTAGCCCTCTATCTATAAAGAAATGGGGCAAAGAAAGAAAGAAAGAAAGAAAGAAAGAAAGAAAGAAGCTGAGGAGAGAATGGGACAGGCTGGCAAAAACAAGATGTCATTTAGGAAGTATGAAAAATGCAAGAGGGAAGAAAAAAAACAATGGAAAAGCAGTGCTTAATTTTAGGCTGGAGATTGGTAGCTGAAACTAACTATTCCTTCAATCAGCATTAATTAAAATTCGATTAACTGGATTAATAGGACTGAAAAGACTAAAAGAAATAGAAAAATAAATCCCCCCCCGCCTATTTGAAAGGGTATACTGTTGGGGGTGAGTTAAGGGAAAAGGAAAGATTCCCCAGACAGACAAAACCTACTGGCAATAGTTACAAAATAACAGTTATATTGTGGTACAATAATGAAAAGCAAATAACTGCAGAACACTAGTTACATATTGTTAGATCTACTATGGAAGTAAATATACTACAAAATTGGTCACAATCTTTTCTAAGATTTTTCCTATTTATATAAAGCTCAGATTACTATGAATCCCTGACATAATGACCCTCTGGAAACCAGGACACTCTATACAGTAGGTACAGATTGGCAAAAGGAGAGTTTTTAAAAAGTGCAAGCCTAAATGTCATTAGAAATGCACAAAACAGTTGTCTGCATGTCAGGAATACAAAGAGGCCAGCTGGCATCCCATGAGGCTTAAAATTATACTGGTACATTCATTCTGGTTATATATAATTAATTTTAAAACAGGTGTATATCAGAAGTTGGCTGTTTACAGCAAACTCCACCCGCACACGTGATTTACAAAGCTGCAGGTAATGTCTTCAAAATGGAAACAGTTCAGGTGTTATAAGAAGTGAGATATGAACTCCTGGTCTCCCCCTCAGCATAGGGAGTTTTTCACGAGGCTAACAGGGTATTTGATGAAGAAGTCTGTCTCTCTTGCTCCAGGAGAGGGAGGGGAGCGGATCACCAAAAATAGTTGTTGTTTCTTTTTCTCTCTGTATCTATTCATTTTTCCTCCAATCACCACGAAAGATTCTATTAAGTGCTCAATGATTATATCTTTATGTTTTCAATCAGGTTTAAAACTCCAGTTCAAACTGAACTCTAACACAACCATAATGTACAGTCTGAGATTAGTTATAACTATTGTGATGAATTGAGGCTATATGTGTACAATTTAAGACTTCTGATTTGATATTGTGAAGTTGTATTATGAAAATCTACTGTGTCACGAGTGCCTACATACATGTGGGTCCAGCACAGCTGACAAATCCTGTAACGTGTATGAACCAGATACTATAGAAGGATCTTGGGACTTAGGGTATATCTGCCCTGCACGGGACTATTCTTTAATCTCACTCCTGCTATTATGGCAGCGGGTCCTGCGGGACCCCAGTCCAATTGCAGGGCTCTACACTAGTCCTGCACAGGGCTCTAGCTGGGAATATGCCTCCAATTCTGGGTAGACAGACTTGCACTAGCTCTGCTCTAGCTACTGGGCTAGAGATATCCGTGTGGACATAGCCGCATGGGTGGTGACTCGGGCTAGGACACCCGAGCTCAGACCCAGATGGTCAGGTAGGTTTGGACTTAGGCAGCTAGCTCGAGCTGCTGCCCTTGTTACAATATCCACATTGCTATTTTTAGCATGCTAACTCGGAGGCTATCTGCCTGTTTGGGATGCATGTCTCAGCTGCAGTGGAGCCATAATGCAAGTGACCCTGTTCAGGTGAAAACATCTGGGACAGTGGATGTGCTGCATCCTTAGAAAAATCAGTTTAGTTGATTCCTTTGAAAGGAGAGCAGAAGACAGGAGCAGTGGAAACTTACCAGGAGTAGAACAAAGGAGGCCAGGTGGCCAGAAAGGGTTTCAGATAAAGAAATGTACAGGAGCAGGGGTCAGAAAGAAGGGTGTGGAAGGAAAAAGCAAGGTCACTGAAGCTGGGAAGGGACTTCATGAAGGAGAGAGACCAGCTAGCACACAACAGCTTGCTTGAGCAGATGACACCCAGCCTGCCTGCCTTCCTAAACCCAGATGTTGCCCAAGGACTGACAAAGGAAGGGTGAGATAGAAAGTGAGGGATATTGCTATTTCAGATGTTTATTATTTTGTATGATCTGTACTCACATGTGCTCTAAATAAGTATAAAAGAGCATAAAGGTGTTAAACTCTGAACAAAGTGTGTCTCTGTACATTAACTACTTCACAACCGTTGCATTCCCTAGACAGAGTTAAATTGTGAACCAGAAGTGTCACACCTTTGGGATGGAAATCTGGGAAAGGGGTATCTTTAAGTAACTGGGGTAGTTTGGAGTAAGTGCTCATCCTGAAGCCTGGGATAGGTGGGCTGAGGAGCCCCATTTCCAAGAAGTGGTAGTAGACAGTCAGTGCCAAGAAAATATGCCAGAGGCCAAGAAAGGAATCAGTGCTGCAGTCTGCTGAGGTTCTAGGAGCATGAAACCACCACAGGGATCCAGAGCAGCAGAGGCATGGATTTCTCTAAGCAGTTATAATGGGTAGTTGCAAGGGAGCCTGCTCACTAGGATGTGATAGAATTATATTACAGAAATTGTTGGTAGATTTCTTACCTCAAAAGTCCACCCTTCTTCCTTGTCTCCATCCAACAACATTTTTGTCTCCTTGTAAACCTTCCCTACTTCCAGCTGCAATGGGGAGGCATTAAATTCAATCCTTTGCAGGTTAAAGCCTATTCCAATCCCAATGGCCTTTATAAAGCTTTCCTTTAGTGCCTAAAATACAGAATGACATATGTTTAATCCACATTTGTTGCTTTTAATGGCTAAAATTGTTACCTACAACACAACAATTACATGTAGCATATCACTCAATCTAGACTGAAAGGTCATCTCTGAGCAGAAACTGTGGGTCAAATAAGTTCTATTCTTAGATAAGTAAGTCTGAGATTACTTCAGATTTACATTGGTATAATTATTAAGAGCAGAATCCATCCACAGGCAGCTTACTCATCTGTAGGAACAGTACAAATCCATGGTGCTGTAATGCATATATAAATACAAAATGACCTACAATTCTGAAATAATCAAGGGCTAGATTGTGTCCCCTGCTGGATGAACCAGGAACCTCTCCACCGTACTTTCATGTATGCATAAGGCCAGCCACAGTTCTTCCTAAGAATTCCAGCTGCAGCACAGACCATCTTGCACACCTACAGATATCCTGAGGCACCAAAGATGTAATCTACCGATAATCGTATCTGTGTGTGCAGCTAATGAAGTTTTACATCATGACATTAAGTACTGCTTTGATAAAGTGTGTTCTCTGAGCGATTATACTTTGTGTTTTTAAAAAAGAAAAAGATATTACCCAGTGCCTATAAAACATATCTAGCTGAATCCATTCGTTATTCATGGACTTGATTACCCTCCACTCTGCCTCTGTAAACTGTCGTTTCATAATGCGAAAGAAATCCGGAACTGAACCACTACCTGTAAAATCAGAAATATTTACAACAAATATTTTAATACAAAAAATAGTTATAAGCAAATGAATTGCCTTATATTACTGCTCCAAGAAATAACTGTCACAGTACAACATATTATTCATTAGAAAAAATATTTATGAACTAAGCTGCTTTGAAAATCTCAAAACTAAACAAGACTGGAAATGCAGTTGTAGTCAATACAAAGAAATGTAAATATAGCCAACATATTAAAACTGTACAGATGTTGATGAAAGCCTACTATGACAAATTATACATTTTAAGGAAAGTAAAAGAGCAAAAAAAAGTCTTCCCTCAGCTAAAGTGCTAACTTTAAAAGATATACATTTGAGGAATAAAGCCATAAAAAAACCCCCACACCTTCAGCACAGTCTAAAGTGACAGCATCTAATCATTTTGTTGACCCAGTCATTAGTCACCTGTGAAAATAGTCAGCATAGGGCACACAGCTTTCTATATTTGATTGCTTAATGTAATATTAATAAATCAATATGCTATCTAGTATTTCTATCTACCTATCACTGGTCAGTTTCACGGTCATAGATTTTAAAAATTGTGAATTTCATTATTTCAGATATTTTAAATCTTAAATTTAATGGTGTTGTAATTGTAGGGGTCCTGATCCAAAAAGGAGCTGGGGGGTGGGGGGGTCGTGTCACAAGGTTATTGTAGAGGGTGGTTGCAGCCTTCAGAGCTGGGCTCTTGGTCAGCAGCCACCATTCTCTGGCTGTCTAGCTCTGAAGGCAGCAGCGCAGAATTAGGGGGGGGGGGAGCAATGTATGGTATTGCCACCCTTACTTCTGTGCTACCACTGGTGAGGTGCTGCCTTCAGAGCTGGGCACCCAGCCAACAGCTGCCACTGTCCAGCTGCCCAGCTCTAAAGGCAACGCAGAAGTAAGGGTGACAATACTTGATCCCCCTAAACCTTGTGACCCTCCTGCAACTCTTTTGGCTCAAGACCCCCAGTGTTAGAAATGCTGGTCTCCCCATGAAATCTGTATAGTATAGGGTAAAAGCACACAAAAGATCAGATTTCACGGTGGGGAGAGGGGGGACCAGATTTCACTGTCTGTAATGCGTTTTTCATAGTCGTGAATTTGGTAGGGCCCTAGTTATATTGGTTAACAGCACTTCAATGATATGTTGGAAGCAATGGAAATCACAGCATGGTTAGCTACACAGCCATGACAGGCAGGGCCGGCTTAAGGAAGTGTGGGGCCCAATTCGAACATTTTCAGCAGGGCCCCGGCAGGGATGACTAAAAAAAAAAAAAAAAAAAAAGTAAAAAAACCCCTTTCATTTCTTCCATGTATTATTTACTTTCCATAACTATATAAATAAAAACAAAATTATATATTACGTACAATTGCTGGCTGGAGGCAGGGCAGGGGCTGACTGGAGGTAGGGTCTGTCTGGAGGCAGGGCAAGGGGTGCGGGGCTGGCTGGAGACGGGCTGGCTGCAGACAGGGGCTGGCTGCAGGCAGGGCAGGGGGTGCAGGGCTGGAGGCAGGGCAGGGGGTGCAGCAGGGGCTGGTTGCGGGGCTGGCAGGAGACAGGGCAGGGGATGCGGGGCTGGTGCAGGCAGGGGGTGCAGCAGGGGCTGGCTGCGGGCAGGGAGGGGGTGCAGGGCTGGCTGGAGACGGGCTGGCTGTGGGCAGGGCACGGGGTGCAGCAGGGGCTGGCTGTGGGCAGGGGGTGCGGGGCTGTCTGGAGACAGGGGCTGGCTGTGGGCAGGGCAGGGGGTGCAGCAGGGGCTGTCTGCGGGCAGGGCAGGGGCTCCCCTGATTCTACTGCCCCGGCCCTTTAAAGAGCTGCCAGAGCCCTGGGGAAGCAGCGGGGTTCCCGCGGCTATTTAAAGGACCAGGGCGGCAGTGGCAGCTGGAGCCCCAGCCCTTTAAATAGCCCCTGGATTCCCCCGCTACCCCAGGGCTCTGGGGGCTATTTAAAGGGCCCGGGGCTCCCCTGCTTCTACCGCCCCGGCCCTTTAAAGAGCTGCCGGAGCCCTGGGGAAGCGGGTGGCTCCCGCAGCTATTTAAAGGACCGGGGCAGCAGAGGCAGCTGGAGCCCCAGCCCTTTAAATAGCCGCCGGAGCCACCCGCTACCCCAGGGCTCCAGAAGTGGGGCTCTGGTGGCAATTTAAAGGGCCTGGGGCTCTAGCCCCTGCTGGGAGCCCCAGGCCCTTTTAATTGTCCCCTGGGGAAGCCGGGCCGCCCCGGTATGGCGTACCGGTGGCGGCAAGGGTGCGAGTACCTCTTAGGCGCGGGGCCCGATTCAGGGGAATCGGCTGAATCGGCCCTGATGACAGGTATAATTAATCCGCATAACCAAGCAATCTGCCCATTAGGTCTTAGAGATAAGTAAATGGACATGGCAGAATGCAATCTATTTACTTTAGCAGGGATAATCCAAATCTACATACCTTCAATACGTAGAATTTTCTGTATTTTGACAGGTTGTTGTATATTTTTAAATACACGTTTTTATTTCAGCCTCATTTCTGGGGTTTTCTTTTGCCACTAATAAATACTATGGCATTGTCATAATGTCTTCACTAATATGTATTCAATTAATATGGCTAAAGTATACCTCACACTAAAACACACATTTAGGTTTTCTGACCTGTTATTTTGCTTTCCATTTTAGCAAGAACCAAATTATTAGTTGCAAAATGTCTTACATGGGAGTGATATTTTGGATGGAAGGTGATAATGGCAGCCCTAACCAGGTTCAAGCATAGATTATAGCTAAGCAGAATTGTTCTCTGACAGGTAACTAGATAGAAGTTGCAATAACCAACTGATAGAAAGATCCAGAACAACCCAAGGAGGCCAGATGTCCTGCTCTTACTGTGGGGGGCGAAGTGCTGTTAAAACTGGAGGCATGCCATACTAACAGAAAAATTAATGTGCTGGTGAAAAGCCTCATCAGGCAAAGGATCCACCTAGATCAGGTAATGTATTCTCAATTAAAATAAACAACAACAACAATAATATGGACTACCTCTTAAGGGAAAGACTGTCTTATGGACAGTTGCCCTGGATTTGAGGGGTGTGTATACCCCAGAATGTGATCAAGCTAATTGCAACCATATTGTGTGCATTCAGCCACTCTGAAGTAATGAAATAGAACACCACGTACTTAAGGGTTAATTTGGAGACAGGCTTTTAGAAGCAAGGTCAAAACTAGCTACAGTTTCTGCTAATCAGAATAGGAGGAGGGACAAACAAGTAAACAAGTGAGACTAAAAACCTTGGTGGTTGGAAAACCTTGAGTCTAGACATCTCTTATATTAAGTTTATGGAAAGTTAGAAAAGTGATGATATAGTAGGGGTGTTTTATAAAAGATTAGCTAATAGATTGTACTTGGGAGCAGTCCTCTGAAGTCATCTTGAGACGTTTTTCCTGACACCTTTTCTCCCCGGTGGGTGAGAAACTCGTCACTGCAAACCTGCTGTTAATTACTCAATACCGTTCCAGATGTTAGGTGAATATCTGGGATGCTCTAAACCTATTGCTTATGTTTGTGTGTGCTTAAATCTAATAAACTGCAGACTGAATTGTTGTGTTCCTGTTGATTTATTCCTTACAGCGCCTGGAGTGAAATAGTTAAGTTGCCCCTGTTGGGAGTTCTGAAAACCTCAGGTAAGGGAAAGACTGTACTATGGACCACCTTTCCCAACCCCTCACCTCCCCTTATCCTTTTCATGATCATGAAACTACAGTAATACCTGCTCCAGCGACTCCACAGTTTAAGAACTGTGAAGGACTGGGCTGCAGTCTCCCCCTGCAGCCCAGAAATTGCAGGGCTGGAAATTCAGCCCTATAGAGTTCATGAAATTGCTGGAGTTGCAGTCTCCTGCTCCCTCACAATCCGATTACTCAGAACATTACCCCTCAGCTCTCAGAGCTTCTTCCTCTCGTTCACCTCCGTCAGTCCAGAGCCACCACACCCATGCAATTTTCAGATTGTTGCCTGCCATTCCCTCTCTCCCATTCTCATAGTCCCTTCCCCATCCAGACCCCATGCACTCTGCCCCTCAGATTCCCTACTTCTCTTTGGTCCTAGTTTCCTTCATCTACCCAGTTTCACTCCCTGACATGCTTCCTAGGCCTCTCATCCTCAACAATCCTTTCCTTTCCACTGCAAAATCCTGTCACTCTCCTCTGCAAGCCCCAGATACCGCTTTCTTCCTCCTCTGATGCCTCCCCATCTTCATTTCCCTCTCTGCCTTGTAGTTGGCTAGCCATTCACAACTACTATAAAAGATACACACACAGCTCAGTGTGGCTCTTCTTACTCTTCCCATCCTGTGAGCAACATGACAGCTCCTCTGCTCAACCCCCACGTTTGCTAGGGGCAGAGGGCAGTGAAGAACCTCTGGAGAAGCCCCTCCCAGCCTAGACAGGTGAGAAGGGAGAGCCTCTCACTCCTAACACCAGCCCAGTGGTGGCCTCTCCCGCTACACTACCTAGGGCCAGGCTCCTTCATTCTCTCTTAATCACCATCACCCTGTTCCATGTCCCAATCAGTTTCTCCACACTTTCCTGCAGGGACTGGGCCAGAGGATGAGAGAATGCAGATGTTTTCCCTTTTAATGAAAAAATACACTTCCCCTCCTTAACATTACTTTGAGCACAAAAACACAACCATAATTTATGGAAACTTAAATTTCCAAAGCAAAAACACTGTTAGATTTAAATCTAAGGCCGTCGAATTATTTCCCATTTACAAAAACACCTGTGAAACAAAGTTATAATTACCAACCTGAATATGCAGAAGTTTGGAAAGTTGTCAATTAATACTTTAATTTGTAAACACACTATTAGAAAGAGAACCTTAACTTTGCCTGTCTAAACTTTAACATTATGTCAGTGTTGGCAACTCAAGAATATTTTTGTAAGTGAGGGGATTATGGCCAGGGTTGGAGTTAGTCTCAGTTAAATGCAAGAAGCTTCAGCTCTTCCTTGGGGGGAGCGGGGAGGGCA